ACTACATTCTTCCTATATGGTGATCCGCACTGTCTCACTGCATACTTCAGATGTATTTAAGGAAGAAGTGCATGTTCTCTGAATTATCCTTCTGTATTTGTGACACATCTAACACAACAGTGACCTAATGCAATTTCATAGCTTTCTGTACACTAGCCAAAATTTTAAAGGTTAGGTCATATTTTACTAAACTGTTCTGAAGCCCAGAATCAAATTTGCTGGTAGACCTCAACAGAAAACTTGGGGCAAAGATCCTTTCTTCCTTTTAAAGTTTTACTATTAAGTCTCCTTTCAGCAGCTTCAACCCACTTCTAGATTTGAATCAAATACATACCAAATAAGATTCATAAGAGTAAAACATGCAAGACAAGTAGTCTAAAGAACCTACAGTATCTACACATCTTTTCTTCCAATACTTAATATAGTAGAACTTTTTGTTTTCCTAAGAAAAGCTAAATGCAAGCCAAAAACCCCAAAGGTTTGGGGTTTTGGGAGCATAAAAGTTGATACACAGGGGACCAGACAGGGGCTTAGGGAGCAAATTCAGTCTTGCCCTTACCCAGATGCCAAGAGGAAAGCTGTGTTATCATTACTGAGTGAAGGCAGATACGACAGCAGCTGCAGCAGAGCAGGCTGCCCTTCCTCTTCAACATTCCCATTCTCTCCCACAAATACTTTTTCCTACACCCTCCAATTCCTCAGTAGCAACCCATGAGTCTGCATTTGTCTGGAATGAAGCATAACAGGAATAACTGTTGACCAGGAAGACACAGCTGGCCATCCATCACTTGGATCAGCCTGGGTAGATAAATTCTGCACAGTAATCTGTGCTAAAAACTGTTTATCTTGACCCTCATCTCTCTCAAACAAGAACTTATGTAAACAGTCATATTAAATTTTTTTTCTACCAATGCATTTTCTTTCAGATCCAAATTGTGGATCTGAAACTTGTAATTATACTTCAGTGTACAGGTAGTAATCTGAAAGCTCATGACAGATCAACAGTTGTTTGGATATAGAGCACATGCTGAATCTTCTCTCATTAGCTACTTAAGGGAGTTTTCTACTGATAATGTGGCAGATCCCGGACACCCTTTGCCAGTGCAGGAGCACCAGCTGACAGTTAGGATCTGAATCAGTTGATTTAAATCTCCCAAAGTGATTAAATCATCAGAAACCAACTGCAAATTTCCCCACACCAGCACTGACTTGCAGAAAGCACAGCAGGCAGATGTAAAGCTAGCACAATGGTTATCCTCCTCTAGTAGTTAGACACCATAATCACTTTTCCTATATACGTTTTTAATGGACTGAGGCAAAACTAAATAAAACGCACTATGCAGAGAGTTGCAGAGACATTTTCATAAGGAATGTAATCCTGTGATTTATGGCCTTGGGAGAGGTTTCCTTACCTGTACTAGCAAACCACTTCTTTCAGGACTGCCTTACCCTTTTGTCTGGTCACCACAGATCAAAGTAGAAGTCAACTGCTAAAGGGGAAAAAAAACAAACCAACAACAGAACTCAGTGCAAGCATGCACTGAAGTGTCATAGCTTATGCAGAGGATGTGGGCCAGTTCCACACCTCTACATCTATGCTTTTACAATACCTGAACTAGATAATTTATAAATACATCAAGTGGCTTTTGGCAAAAGTAGATTCCTTCATATGCTTAATATTTGATTTAAAGAAAAAAAAAAAGTGGGTTTTTTTTCCCCATTACTTAAATGTGTTACAATCCATACTACACAAAGTTTTCTGGCTTGTCAGATTTTTCATTTAAACTAGCAATTTCTCAGTAATTACATCCACCAGAATGTTCTAGTCTGATGATTACTGGAAAGAACAACTATGGCCCGAAAACCATGAGATATGTCATTATCTAACGAACTTAGTTAAGGAATACACCTTCCTCCAATCTCCAAAAGAAATACTGAAAGACATTTTAAAACTTCATATTCTCTTTTGCCCCTTATGCTATCTACTATACAATTATTAAAATTCTGAAAGGTAAGTGGTAGATTTCTCTCTATTCACCCTTTAGTAAGCATTACTATAGATGTAAGGTTTATTTTACACAGCAAAAACAAAGTTCTCATGCTCTAGGAGCATAGTACTAATATTTGCTTACTAATCAACTACATTTAGTTTCTTAGAAGGCAGATTTAAGGAAACAGGCAATGAGTAAGTTTTGCAAGTGAGAAAGCAGAACAACCTGGTGTATGCTGTTGTAACAAGTCAGCAGAGCACTTGAAAGAATATTGCAATTACTGCTGTTAAGGGGTTATATCCTCACCCCACTCCATTAAGAGATTAAAAAGAAGGAATTAATCTCATAGGATAATTTTCCTAACAGAAGTATCATTTAATAAAGGGAAATGGAGATAAAGTGCTTAAGAGACATGAGTTTCTACGAGATAGGTTCTGAGTACCATCATGGGAAATACAGATGGAAGCAACTCAACTGTTGATAAAAGTCATTAGATCAACTTAAGAACAGTGAAAATAAGGCCATAATATTTATGAAGTATACAATATTTAAGATCTTACTCCTCGGTACATTTGCTAAATTTCATGTTCTAGCTATCTGAAAGGCCTAAGAAATACAGTGACTTCAAGAATTTGCAAGACTGAGGAATCATACATATACTAAGTATCTCTCAGCTTTCAAATGAAGTGCCACATCAAACAGCAGTAAAAAGCTGAGAAAAATACCAGAATTAACATTCACTTATCATCAGTTGCTTATGAATATAACTAGAACACTTACAGTAACTAACAGGAGTGTTTTTGTTAGCCCAAGGCATTGTAACTGCTTAAAAATATCACCAGCATTATACAGCTACTGCCTCGTGTCTCACGGAGCTGAGCAAAGAATCATTAGCCCATTTCCTTAACAATGAAAAGCAAAGTACATACATGCTCCACATCTTCTAGTAAGTGAAGAGTCATAAAAGACATAGCCAGGAGCCAGTAATAGCTTCAATGCATCACAGTCTACTACTATTGCTCAACTTACCTATTTGCATAGCCTGGCTAGTGTACATAGACAAATTCTCAGTAACAAAGGAAATGAAAAAATAGTTCAAGCTCAAATTATTGTTTAGAAATAGCAAGAAGTCAAGCTTAAAAACGAAGTTTCCACTTTCCAAACCTATTTTTGGTTTCCCCCCACACCTCATTAATGTAGCCAACACAGCTACATTAATGAAAAGTATATGCTAATTCTTCTGAACAGGCTTTTTCAGCCCAAGTACTTCAGCAGCAAGTTTCACCTAGCTCTAATTGTACACTGTAATCTGCCTAGCAGCATGCAGGAGTTGCAGTTTTGCGGAATATATTTATCTTAAACCCTTTTGCATTGTGCAACTTCAAAAGTTGTATAAAAGGAAAAAAAACCTAACACATTTTCAGCTTCAGAATATGGAGTTATCTGGACTAGAGATGCACGATAATTTGACTTCAGCAGCAGTATGGCATCTTAAAAGTCCACTAAAATTATTCAATTTATAAACAGTCAGAACTTAAGAGGCCAATGAGAAACCAGGAACTTCTTAAGGCAGCACGGAACTACAAGGCTAGCCAAAAAAGAAGACAGCAAGATACATTTTGACTTCAATGCAGTTGCTCCCTCTCTGCATTTAGCCCCAAATAAGTCCAAAACAACAGTTTCTTTATTAAAAGTACTGACAACAGAGCAACAAAGACTCATTTGGGTTGGAAGAGACCTCCCACACTTCACTTTAAAACCACACGTTTAAACAACCCCCATGATATTTACATAACCCAGAAGCCCGTGAAGAAGCTACAGTTTGATGCATATTATTAAAAATTGCAAAGCATCCTCTCAGAACAGTACAGAAAGCAGCTGTACAGCTTAGTTTCCCTTCAGTATTATCTAGTCTCTACTGCTATGACAGCTAAGTAGATATTCTATGACCTTATCTAGATGTGAAGCCTTTGCAGCACTGTCATCCCTATTCAGCGTGACAGTTCATCCCTATCAGGTCACAGGACCTAAACAGGGCCCTGATTAAAGCGTTAGCTGCTCCAATTTTTCATTAAAGCTTGTGCTTGCGCAACCAAGAAAAAAAATCCCAACTGTAAAAACTGCACAGTAACAGTGACCGTTTTCAACTAACAAACAACCGTGGACGCTGCAGCAGGCGGCAAGTGGAGCGGGCGGGCAGGTGACGGCCTGCCCCGTTCCGCGGGGCGGTGGCAGAGCCCAAGAGCCGTTAAAAAACGGCGACGGGCCGCGCCTCAAGGGACCCGGCGGGCAGAGCGCTGCGCGGAGCGCGGTGGAGGGCGGGGGGGACAGGCCGGCGCCCCACCTTGCTGTCC